GATTTTCAGAGCTTGGCCTATTTTTCAGTGTTTAGTCCTGTTTCTCTCCTAGATTTAGCTATGGGCCCAGCATTTAGTGGGACTAACTAGACTCTTTTTCATCTTTTAACATGAAACCTTGGTCAGAGCTCATCTGATTAACTGTTTCCTTTCCTTACAGAATCACCTGTGGAGCTAGTTTACCGTTAGCTTTTCTAACATAGAAAGTATTTATAGAACCCCAGTCGGCCTCAGCAGATGGCCGCTCACACTAAGCCTGGTTGTGCTCGAGGTGTCTTCCTGTTCATAGGGAGTTTTTCCTCTCCACTGTCGCTACAAGCATCCTTAGTGTGAGGGATTCCAGAAGAGTCAATGAGTCGATGCAATCAACTGGTTTTCCTTAGATAGAAAACTTTGAATCAATCTGACTGGATTATCTGGTTGATTTGTCTCTATAAAGTGACCTTAGATGATGTGGTGTGAATTGAAGCTAGAGAAATAAACTGAATTGAATTAAAAAGGAACCCAAAGTAAGAAAATCTTAGTTACTTGGTTTTAAGATGTTAACTGCGTCTTACATTTGAGCTTTGGACTTTCACCTGTTGCTGCTCCTTCTTAGCTCTAGTCTTTATTTTATCTGGAAGGAAAATATCAACTTTTTTAAATAGTCAAAGACCAAGCTCTTATAGAAACCCCCATTTACAAAGTGGCAGTATCTGTGCTTTGTTCTCAGCTAGTGTATAACTTAAGTTCCACTGTGTCTACCTTAGAGTAAAGGCCATGTTATGTTTTATGTCAATGTTAAATATGATGTATAACAAAAATTACCGAAATTGCATTATGCTTAATTCTATATAAAAGAGGGTAAAATAGTACAGTCCTGTTTTAAATATACAGTTTTGTTACAAGGACAAAAACATAAAAAAAAATGTAATTTCATTTATCAGGATGATGTTGCATTATATGTTTGTAGGTGAACATAAAATGATTTTTGCAGGACTGATAGCTGCACACACAAACACACGGATATTATCTCTGTCACTATGGTGAAGGAGGAAAAAGTTTTCACACCTACCTGATTTCCCTGTGAAGGCGTTGGGCTAAGGTTCCATGTCTCTTTATCTACGGTATGAGGAGAAAGTGTCTGCCTTGGTCTTTCTACCCACTTTTCCAGCTGATATTACTAAGTAATCTTAAAACATTAGACATTGTTTTGCTTTGATGAAGTCTGATAATCTCTCATATGCAATAAAAACATGAGCTAGGATTAGAATTCCTATGCACCGAAAACGGTTTCAGCATAAAAACTTCAGGAAAATAAATGCTAGTGCTGTTTGCATTTATTTGCAGAATTCATTTACAAGTGCTGCTACCTTGACGTGTTCAGACCATAGCGGGCGCTTTGATAAAACTTTTGAAAGAACTTTCAGTTACTCAAACCTTGACAGTTGAAAAAGTATTTCTAGAAGCCACAAAAAAAAATTGAAATGATTTTTTTCTTGGAATTGAATCCAGTTTTTATTTGGTGGGAAATTATAGGAAATGCCAACTTTTTAAAATGAACGTGCTTTTTGTAGAGTTTTAATTCCTCAAAAACCACATCAAACACCAAACACCCCTTCCTCCACTGAATGTTTGCAGTAAAGACATGTCAGCCACTGGCCAGTGACTCCTGATGAGCCCTGGAAACTCATCATATCATTTGACGCATGTCTGATCTCCCTCTGCTTTTGAACACCTTCAGTCATTATTGGTTTTAAAATCTGCTGGATCAGTTTAAAGTTAAAAACAGGTCTACTGGGGGGGGGGGGTTACCTTTAGGCAATATTAGGCAGTTCCCCATAAAACTCTGTTTACATGTGTTAATAAAACTATTCCTTTTTGTGCACATTAATTATGTTTTTGATAAAAATCCTTTCTCTAAAATGCCATCAGAACGCCTATAAGATTAAGTGTGTCTCAGCCCCCCCTTCAGTGTCCACCATATTGGATCAGTCCATTTGCTGCACATGTTCAGAAAGGTCCAAACAAACAGCAGCAAACCATTTGAACACAAACAGTGCGAAGAGCAGTGTTGCTAACTTAGCGCTTGTGTCGCTATATTTAGCGACTTTTCAGACCTAGCGCCAAATCTAGCGACTTTTTTCTGCTAGTGGAGACTTTGGAGACAACATCTAAAAGCAGCGAACTCTGCTCTCCAGAGCAAGTAGATTGGTAACCCCGCCTCCTGCTCTCCTCTATCTTGTCTGCTGTCATGATTCATGCAGCGATTATTTCATCCAAATGAAAAATGGAGAACAGAGAAGCAGATCATGGCTTGTCTACAGTGAAAAGAAGGACTGGGTTATTTACTTTGGCCTTTTTGGAAACACAGGAAGGAGCAATCAGCTAAGTGAGCTTAGAGCTTGGAAAAAATCTTTCATTCCTTTAGAGACAGCATGAAAAGTCAGCTGAGTACAAAACATAGAGAGGAAAACGAGAAGAAAAGGGACAAGAAGAGAGGGATAAAACCTAGAACAGATAATGGAAGTCTATATATATAGACTGTTTTATGTGTTGTCTTCTCATTTCAGAGGGCCCCCTGCCTGTCTTTGCCTAGGGCCCCAAATTTATTATATTCACCCCTGACTACAGGCTTCCAGTAAGTGTGTTTGTTATGCTTACAGGATTTACCACCATAACAGATAACTGGCCTGAGAAAATTAGTTGACAGTGTGAAAGCAAAATCTTAATTCTTCAAGTTACTGGGAAATGTTTTACTTTCTTAATTCAAATTCCCCAAATAAAAATGAAAATGCCTCCATTTAATTCCTCTTTGCAGCACATTTCAAATCTTAAACTTTTACCAGTTTTCATTCTTGTTTTTGTTTTAATACCAACACCAAAAACATAAAGATGCGTACCACATGCTAACACTGAGGCGATGCAGATGAAGGAACAGAGTAACCTGAAGCTGAGAGAAGCTCTCTTTAATTGGATGTTTTATATTTTTTTAAGATGCGTTTTTCTTTCATAGTTTTTTTATGACACAAAGGAAATGACTTGTTTTTAAGTGTTTGATTTTTATAATTACATTCACATTTGCTGTCATGGACTATTAACCACACCCGGACCAAACAAAGTTGTGTAGTGAATGGCTTTTCAAAGTTTTATTGAAAATAAAATGTTGCTCATATACTAATATGTGTGATATTAAATAGGTGGTTTTCCTATTTAAACATTTTGAGTCATGTTCTTCTCAAACGCCAGAGGTTGCCATGACCACTCTCAGCGTGATGCAGTTTTTACTCTGTTTGCTAAATGATTTGCTCACAGAATGTTTCGCTATGGTCCTTGCTGGTACCTTTACTCAGATACCTCATCATACTCCTGGCAGATTTGGAGTTAAAATAAAACAATTGTTTTTTTTGTTTTTTTATTGGAGGTAAAATCAGCATTTCGAATCGTTTCCCAGCTGGAGAGCCATCCTGAATATGAAGATCCAGCTTAAGATGGGCGTAAGAAGGCGCCTCACACCTTTAAGTAAAATCCTGGTCATATTCAGAATTCAAACTTCTGAAAGTACTTTAAATATGAATTATTACATCCTGTTCAATAAATGATAAGTGTATTTAATTAAGAGTATCTTCATATGAATGTGCTTTACTAGAGGCACCCATGTTTGCCAAAGAACACTACTGCCACCTACTGGTTAGTGACGTCACGGTGCGGTATCGGCTGTTGATCAAGTCCCAG